ATGATATAACTATATTATGTCTTTAGAAAATGGGTTGGCATGCCATAATTCAGATACATGTTGTCTATGTAAACATCATGGCATGACATAATTCAAATATATGATTTATATACTAAGGAAGTGAGCAGAGGGCAATTGCATATATGATGTGTCAACTAAGGAGATGGCATTCAATATTGTGTATATGATGTAAAAAATAAGCATTGCACTACAACATATGCATTATATGAGTAATATAACCCTGCCAAGTTTGAGCATACACCTCAGGGGGATAATAGGACTGGTCATCTGCCTCTGAATCCTCCTCTGAAGAGCTATCTGTAACCAGCAAGATATCTGCTTCAGCAGGTAGCATTGTCTGCTCTGAAGACCTTGTTTTCACTCCAGATTTCTGCATCACCAATTCAAATGGTTGATGCACAGGAAGAGCAGTTGAATATACAAACATTGTCGACAAAAGCAATGAGAAATACAAAAAAGGACGACATGATATAATTCACATATATGACGCTTGCCTAAATAGCATGGCATTGTATAATTCACATACATAATGCCTTGCAATAAGATAACATTGCATAATTCACATATATAATGTCTTGCAACAAGATAGCATTGCATAATTCACATATATGGTAATTAGACACTAAACAGGTGGCATTCACACAAAGCATGTCCAAACTAAGCAAATGACATAGCAATGCAAGATACCATACGCACGATATGAGTAACATAACCCTGCCAAGTTAGGGCATGCACCTCAGGGGGGAAATATGACTGGTCATCTGTCTCTGAATCCTCCTCTGAGGAGCTATCGGTAACCAGCAAGACATGCGCTTCGTCAGATAGCATTGTCTGCTCTGAAGACCTTGTTTCCACTCCAGATTTCACTACAAGAAATATGCAATCTTGTGACCTCCACTATTGGTCACTGAAAGGTCATATTTTTTCATTTGCGACCTTTTTGTGCCCAAAAACAGAAGGTCAAAAGCTGGCGGACGTAAACTGAAATTAACGACCTTCTCTGGGAGAAGGTCGTAGACATTTTTGACCAAAACAGAAGGTTGTTGAACCCATGACCTTTTGTTTTGGTCACTGGCTGTCTGCCCAGGCCATGTTGGATCCGACGTGGAAAAATTGCAACCAATTTAAAAGGTCACTGACAAGATCCAGCCCGGTCCGATTAGGTGTTTTACATGGGCCGAGCCCATTAATTCGGCCTTTTATATTATTATTTTCTATCAATTCTTGTGGTCTACTTAGGCCAAGCAAGTATTTCAGCTTCTTTGTTTTTGGGCCTTGGCCTTCTTACAATCAATTGATTTTCTATTTTCAATAATTATATTCTGGAGCTGGTCCCACTAGTCAAAAGGGTCCCACAAGTCATAATGTCATACATGAGTCCCACATGTCAGAAATTTCAAAATTTCTCAGATTATATTCATAAGTGGGTCCCACTGGTGAAGTTTCCATATCTTCTCAACATACATAACTACTATTTCAAAAAGGACAGAACAAACATAGTTCATCAAATAACACTACATAGACTTTTACAATCCGTTACAATATTACAATTTACAGTCTACTACAGAGCCAAAAAAACTATTTGCAAAGTACGGCTTCACTGCTTTGCACTTGGCTTCACGGCTTCACACTCAGAAAAAATAAGACTAGAGCTCCTGTAAAAGAGTGAACATAAAGGGAAAAAATTAGGCTCGGAGCTCCTGAAAAAGAGCGAATGCATAAAGGAAAACAACTAAGAAAACTATACAGGAAAACAAGTAGAGTGTATTGAGCATATATATGTTGTCCCTGGAAGGCGATGAAACCATATTATCATAAGTCACGGTTTAAACATCAAACCAGATTTACAAGTGAGCATGGCTAGAGTTCACAGAAATTATCCAAATCCAAAACTTAGGGGTGGCTGGGAGAACAGAGAGGGGACGCACCGCTCTAGCAGAGGGCGATGCCGAGGACTGAGTCGCCATCAATGCTTCTGGTGCGCTCCAGTCGCCTACATGTCAGGAGTTTTGTGACTCGTGAAGATACATCTATGCACCAAAGCAGCAGTTCATTTACCAAAAGAAAATAACAGTTCAAGCATCATGGTACCAACACCAATTTATCGACAGCTCAACACCAAAAAAGTAAGTTAAATTGAAAATGCCATACTCTGACCATTTCATCCTCAATACACGTAATGTGTTGTGCACCCTGCACATAACAAGAAGGCTACTAGATATTACTACAAGGAGAACACACCTCATATACAGAATTCACACTTGACAATTACAATAGGCACTGCACATATATGGAGAGGTGTTTAAAAATAAAACTCAGGATTTAGGCATGCACTGGGCATGTATGGATACTAATTGCTCAACTACATGAGGGTAGCCAGTTCGCTGTCACATACAGAAAAGCATGATTCAGATCAACACCATAACTGAGATTGCTAAACCTCAACAGTGGCATACTTATATACAAACAGTGATGATAGCGACACCGTACTACTACTACTACTTGAAAGATTGGCAGGGAGGCTTACCCATTGGCAAAATAGTCAGATGAGGACACCTCATTGTACTTCATGAGCATGCCTGGGGGCCAAACAGGAATATCAAAGCAATTGCATCCATATTCTATCTTCTGCAAATCACAATAAACTCCAGTCACATTGTGTAGTATCAAATATAAGCAACAATGCAGCAGCTGAAACCACTACCTTACTAATTTGTAGAAAACCTCATGATGTAATCAAATATTTAGTTAAGGACTGGGTTATTTATTGATTACAAGCTAAATAAAATGCAAACATACTCATATTATTAGAGTAGTTCATCATTAGCTCATTCGCGTTGCAGAAGTAAAAGCATCTGGCACACACATGATGAAATGAAATGAAAAAAAAGAATGCTTCAGTTTGTTTGAAAAAAAATGTGTGTGCTTGTGTTGACAGGGCCAACGGTGGCCTCCTTGTTATTGTCAGATGAACTAAATAGTAGTGGTAGTTAACATTTCACCATCTAAAGCAGTCACTCAACTCCTTGAATACTACAAAGAAATCAGAAATGTGAGGCTAGTGTATTCTATAGTTAATCATGAGTGTGACACAGTTCTTTTGGGTTGAGCTGACCCAGCAAATAGAGATCCCGAGCATGTTCAAGATGTAGGCTGCGAGTACTCGAAGAACATGCATTCAAATAGAGATCGTGAGCATGTTCACTGTGATATTGAACTCCTCTTACAATCTTATGAGCATGCATTCAAATAGAGATCATGCAATCAAATGGAGTAGTTACAGTCTTAACTAAGAAGATCATGAGCATGTGCATGAGTAAAATGAGCATCAGCATGTGTTAACAGGATCATAAGCATGTGTATGAGTAAAATGACAGATGATAAGAAGATATGTTTAGTTATAGTCTTACAATCAATGCTTTGTAATTACAGATAACTGAAAAATGAGTACAGTAGATGTACAAAATTTGTTTGCTCCATTTGTAACTACAGTACTCCTTTCATTTGTTTGAAATTTTTAGTAGATGTCACAGTAGCATGATAAAAATTTCAGCTGAAACTAAAGATGCAATACACTAAATTACTCAAGCTTGACAACAAACCACCAAGAGCATCTCAGAGCACCACATGGACCTCACTCGGTATGACTTTGTTGCACTAAAACATTACAGATCAAGAAGAGATTCTGGAAATTTTAATTGAATTCAATTAAATTTGTGCTACTGCTACTGTTATAAAACTACTGAAACTACTGAACCAAGCTGCCTGCCATGTAAACAAGCATCCATTCATCTATTCCAACAGAACAGAACACATGTGATGATAACAGCAGGAATTTGTAACTAGCATCCCTTAAGAACCATCAAGAGTATTTAGGGGCTCATCAACAGAACCCATGATGCAACAGGAATCCATAGTACTATTCAGCTAGAGTACGCATTTAGGGTGTTTAAACACAGTAGCAGCAGGAACTTGAAAGGTACTACTGGTAACAATAAGATACTATGGTATCAATCAAGAAGCTAATATAAGGAGACGGCAGGGTAAATTCAAGTGGTGCGTGTCACTTGGGTATCCCTTTCTCTTGCTGGCCAGTGCAGTGCTTCATGGGTCCCTAGGTTTCAGCTTCTTCTTGGTCCTCGTCTGAAAATATAAAGTGTTGAAACAGAGTTAAGTTGGTAGCCACAAGTGATTCAAATCTCTAGGAGTGGGTTATCAATCCATTGCACACACTGCTGCGGAATCGGGAGATCGACGATCGATTCAAGACACCAGAATATGGAGAGCAGTACACAGCACAAATATAACTGAAGGAGACATAATAACATATATACAGAGCTATAGTAGTTATCTCTGTCAGCATCAGATTGATGCAAAACACTAGTGAGTTGACTTGGCACATTGACTTTGAAACCAAACATCATGAATTTGTGTATGCTAATGATAAAGTATTAGAGAAGGTGTTTGATGCTACAATAACTGAAGCCAAATAGCATGGACAGGACAATATTAAGGTGACCAAGGCCAACAGACATTAACAATGATAACATCATTATGTCTAGATTGATACAGAACTGTAGTATAGTTAGGTTAGCTCCATTATGTGTCTAAGAATAAAATTAAGCTGCAAGTCAAGCATCTCAACAACCAACAGCGACGCATCTTTATCTTTAGAATTACACACAAGTGGAGCTCAAGTTTTCTAGGAAGAAAAATAACATTTATAATTTCTAGTACTAATTTTATACTGATCTTAGTAAAAAAGCCTAAGAATCGCACATTCATCAACATAATTTGTAGTACTACAATACTGAACCAAGTAAAAGCCTAAGAATTACACATTCATCAACATAATTTGTACCGCTCCGATGAGAGAAACACATGAATAGACTAATTAACTGGGCTAATCTGTGCTTAGCAAGCAATGAAATGTATCTACTGGAACTGCAATCCACTAAACCACGAGCGTGTACTGGTAGTCACCAATTCCTAACAAAGCACAGCAAGCACATCTGCGCCAACAAAAAGCATACGGGGAACCAAAACTAACAACACGGAGAAGCGGAAACTGGCCAGATTCACGCATCCCGATCGCGAAATGCTTGCGTAGATGGCAGAGATCAAAATCCGCATCTGCATCGAACCTAACGGCTAGATCTAGGCCGAATCCTTGGAGAACTGAACCGGAGACGCGTGTGGGAGCACAGATCTAGGCCCTCACCTGCATGTTGCACTTGACGAGGTCGAGCGGGGTGATGGCCATGTGGGTGAGCCCGCAGCTGTCGATCCCCCCGATGCTGCAGGTGGCGCAGAAGGCCGCCGAGTACATGATGATCTTCTCGTTGGGCCCGTGGACCGAGAAGGGCATGCTGCCTCCGACCCCACCAGCGCCGACAAGGCCGGCGGCCGGGGCCGCGGCGGGCGCCTGGTAGGGCGACGGGGAGGAGGGGAAGCGCGCTGAGGCGGCTGCGAAGGAGCGCAGGGAGTAGAGGAAGCCGGGGAGGAGCGAGTCGTGGGAGAGGTCGGAGAGCGCCATCGCCACCGGAGGAAGGTGGCGGCGGGAGGGAGGAGGGGAGCGCTAGGGTTCGCGCAAGAGGGGTCGGGTGGTGTTCGGGCACGAGGGAAAGGGGAGGTCGGGCGATGGAGATGGCGGCGGTGGGCTGTATGAATGGATCCATGGACGGATCTTTCCCATGTCATCAATCCATGCCACACTAATTCCACCAATCACAATTGAGCTCATGTAATTTTGTCTTTTCCTTTTACTTCTCTTGTATTTTTGAAACGGGCATAAAAAATTCAAAAAAATCAAAAAATTGGAAAACCTTCGCATTGTGTCATTATATGTGACCAAGTTTCCAGGAAAAATAATAAACTTGTAATACGGTAATTATTTTAAAAAAGTGTTCTTAGAAATGAGCTATCATGTGTGAAGATTCATGGCTTTCAAGCCAAATAATCAATCTTATGGCTACATTCATGGCATAGTTTGTTCAAATGATCTCATATTGTGCACAAGGGTACATCTTGGAATTCCAAACAATATTTCCTAAGAAAGTTTTCATTTTCTTTGCACGGAAAATTCATTTTTCATTTTCCGAGTGCCCAAAAGGAGGTTTTTTGTGAAGGAACTACCAAATAATTTTTGCAAAAATGGACCAAATCAATTTTATAAAATACTAGGCCATATATAATGCACAATTGACAAAATGGTTGGGTGTAAAACATTTTTGATCCACCTCTGGTGAAAAAGACAAATTGTCGTCGATTTAGTTGGAAACAGGTCAAATTTGAACTGCAGCTGCCTCATAGTTTGCTCTTTATTTTTTCCAAAAATCATTTGTAGGTAAATAAGTATCTATTTAATCATAGAAACACCAAAAAAATTGCAAGATTCAACCACTAGCTAGGAACGGTCAAGCCCGCCGTTTTGACCGCATTTTGAAACGGGCATAAAAAATTCAAAAAAATCAAAAAATTGGAAAACCTTCGCATTGTGTCATTATATGTGACCAAGTTTCTAGGAAAAATAATAAACTTGTAATACGGTAATTATTTTAAAACAATGTTCTTGGAAATGAGCTATCATGCGTGAAGATTCATGGCTTTCAAGCCAAATGATCAATCTTATGGCCACATTCATGGCATAGTTTGTTCAAATGATCTCATATTGTGCACAAGGGTACATCTTGGAATTCCAAACAATGTTGCCTAAGGAAGTTTTCATTTTCTTTGCACGGAAAATTCATTTTTTCATTTTCCGACTGCCTAAAAGGAGGTTTTTTTGTGAAGGAACTACCAAATAATTGTTGCAAAAATGGACCAAATCAATTTTATAAAATACTAGGCCATATATAATGCACAATTGACAAAATGGTTGGGTGAAAAAAGTTTTGATCCACCTCTGGTGAAAAAGACAAATTGCCATCGATTCAGCTGGAAACGGGTCAAATTTGAACTGCAGCTGCCTCTTAGTTTGCTCTTTATTTTTTTCCAAAAATCATTTCTAGGTAAATAAGTATCTATTTAATCAGAAATACATGGTTTGATGGCGAGACATTGAGGTTTGGACGGTAGCCGAGGGCCCCAACTCTAGAGCGCGTAAGCTCGCATGCCCGCCGCATGGTCACCGCATGACCGTGGCGTTGCCATTTGTTCTGGGCGTCCTAGGCATGTCTAGTGGGTTGGGCACTCCCCAGGTAGGTGCTAGGAAGAAAATCACAACATAAGATTCTCACGAGGGGACCGATCGATGCTCAAACATAAATAAGCAGCCAAGTGTTTGATTTGCGGTACGGGAAATGCACATGGATAATGGGCGTGAGTTTTTGCTGAGGATGATCAGTTACTAAGAAGACCGTCTTCACAAATTTTCACCTCAAAAGGAGGAGCCTAGGTGGTACTTGCTTTACAAAGTACCATAGTGGACATAAATACGAATGTTGAAGCTGGGCTCAAAATAATGAATGGATTGAGCTGACATTTGGTGGAGGATGGTTATTTGGGCATAGGAAAGAACTATAGAAAATGGATACCATTTGGACATGCCAAAGTGGTACTTCCTTCACAAAGTGTTGCTCTGAACAGAATAGGAAAATGAATATTTTCGAATTATTTTTGAACTAGGCAATGAATGTTTTTGACATATTTGATGAAGATATGATCCAAAACATTTATGAGAATTTTTTGGGAATTTTTGGAATAACAGAAATATAGGTTGCTTCACAACCTAGGGCAAAAACTGCCACATGGACATGACACATAGGCAAAACTGATGAGATGGCGCCTAGTCATCAGAACCCACCACAATCTACAAGGCTATGACCATCTATATTGGTCATTAACAACTAGAAATAAGGCAGCGGACTAGCACTGTTTGCTTTGTGACCATTTCATGTAAGGAAATTACGACCTTTCTGACCAAAATGGTCGCAATGGTTTAGGGTTTGGAACCCCCCGAACAGCTTTTGACCAATTGGTTTGAAATGGTCATAGATCTATGACCATTTCTTCCAGGGTCACTGACAGAAGGTCACTAGTTGACATATTTCTTGTAGTGTTTTTCCATGACCGTGCCGAATGGCTGATGCACAGGAAGAGTAATTAAATGTACTAAAATTGTTGACAAATTTAACACATAATTAAAAAATGATGGCATGATATAATTCACATATAAGATGACTGGCTAACCAGGGTGGCATTGCAAAATTCACATATATGATGACTAGCTAGACAAGATGGCATTGCATGATTCACATATACGATAAAGAAACAAAACAGATGGCATTGACACAAAGCATGTCTAAACTAAGCAGATGACATCTTTAATGTATACAGTAAGCAATGCAAGGCACCATATGCATGATATTACCAGCATCAGCATGGCAAGTTAGAGCAAAGACCTCATGTGGTAAATAGGAGTGGTCTTCTCCTTCTGAATCCCCCTCAGAACAGTTATCTTCCTCTTGATTACGATCCGAAATGGGTGGAGGGGGCTGCCTTTGCGCCCACCATGGAACGACGTCTACATGAAATTGCCACGCAAGGCTCGTCTCTTTTGCTCTACATGATCAGTTCCATTGTGTACAATAACTGGCATGCATAGGAATAAAACATAGTGAGATTATGTAAGGAGTGCATGCACAAATCCAGAGTGATGGTAGCAAACTGTGGATAGACCCAAAACCAATGATAGCAGGCAGATAATAGCTTTAGTTAAAAAATACAGATAATGGCTCCTTTAATGTTTGTTTGCACTCAACATGAAACTCATAGTAGACACCGGAGATTAACCAGATAGTAGATAGATAGTACTGATTGCTGCCCCAATATGTACCCCACAACCATTTAAAAACTCAAGTTTCAGCATTAGTTTGGACCTGACTCGGAGTCTAATAGGTGAACACGACGATAATGTAGCATGTCATCATATTAAGTGACGCATAACGTAAGCAGACACGGAAGAGTGCAACCTATCTTGCGGACCTGTGTAGTCCTCAAGGTCATCTGCTTAGTTGATGATGGTAATGCAGTTGTCGTGGCTGCCGGCGGCGGGGAAGAAGGTCTGAGGCGGCGAAAGACAGTCTGGAGAGCGGATCCCTGCTGGGGTGAACCCTTCCGTCGTTGGAGCAGCTGAGCTGGGGTGGAACACAGCACCGCAGGAGTAGGACAAACCACACAAGGTTTTCTTTGACACATATCTGTAACAGAAGTAATTGAGTAATGGCTTGTTTGAATTTGAGGATTCTAACAATGCAGGGATAGGAAATAGACATGAATAGGATAGGAATGCACGTGCAAAATAGAGAATCTAAAAACACAGGATTTCTGCCAATCTGGGTGTTTGATTCACAACAATTGGAAGATCGCGAGATGCAAAAAAGCATGGTGAGATTAAGTCAAACCACAAGAAAATGTACGGTTATAATGCTATTATGCTACTATCTCTTAGTCTTGTGCTTGATGAATAGGAATATGAAAAGGAGGAGAAGTGGAAATTAGTATTCCTACGGTTTTTCTTTCAAGGAGACACTAAAGGAACAAATCCTACAATTTTCCTTTTCTCCATTCCTTTGCACCAAATTCATGAAAAGTAGTACCATAGGAAACTTTCCAATTCCTATGTTTTTCATTCACTTTTCCTTTCAAGCACTCACGATTCTAGTAGGCAGGCTTGAGCAAGGAAAATCCTACACTAAAAAATGTTTTTGTGCTACTTCTATTACTTTGGACCCAGGCCACTGCCATACTAGCTCAACTCCCAGGCCCATCGACAAATGCACAGCTCAAACGCGCAGAGATAAATAATGATGGCTTTCAAGAGAGTCCATCACGGATAGCTAAGTTTCCTGGTACCTCACTGCTTGTCATATAGTAGGATAAAATAATCGTATTTCCCGTTACTACGAGTGCTCGGTGGAAAATATATATAACATGTAGAGTAAAAAAGAGATACAACAAGTGTACAACCTCTTTGGCGAAGCCATGTCGATCTCAGCGTGATTGGGTTGGCCAGAGAGGATGCTCCGGCTGACTTTGCTGTCGGAGGAGGGGAAGAAGATCTTAGGCGTATGGAGATGGAGCCCGAGGTACTGCTCCGCTATGATGGAGGGTTTCGTCGTTGGAGCAGCTCCGGTGAGTTGTACGATGACGAGGCTGAAGCAGGACAAGAGAGACAATGAACAATGTTAACCTGAGTGGAATTCTAATAGCATCTCCAATACATGACGTAAAATACATAACCACAAAGTGCTAGATGTAAAATACATCGGCCGCTCATCTCTGAACTTAACTGTCGAAACTGAACTTAACTGTCGAAACTGAACCTAACTGTCCAAACTGAATTTGGCTGTCGAAACTGAATTTTGCTGTCGAAACTGAATGCACTAGCAAGGTGAGGCTACACGTCGGTCGACTGACTTTTTCATCTCTGGTCATTCGATTTTGCAGCCATTGGATACGAAATCAAGGGCCTGCGGTTCATCTTCAACCTCCACCCCCTGAGCCGCCAGCCACCACCGGCCAAACAGCAGCCCC